TCCTTATTCTCATTGTTATAAAGGAGTCGCGACCCACAGGTTGAGAACCATTGATCTAGATGTCCTATGGTTTCATTTCTATATTTCATATGACAAGGGTACAAGTGAAATCTGTCAAATGTAGAACATAGATGTTTTGGCACAATAATCAAGTAAATGAGGTTGACTGAAAGCTATGTTGACTGATTTGATCTAACCACATCAGATTGTATTAAAAAAAAAATCAGCACATTGTACCCCACATATGCATGAATGTATTCATGATCTATGTGTATTTGACTTAATAAAAAATAAATTATAAAATACAACATAAATATATATATATATATTTCACTCTTTTTTCTAGAATTTATTTTTAGTTTGATGCATGCTATGAGGTAAGGAACAACTTTTCCTGATAGTTTATCAATTAACCCAGTTCCATAATAATTACTGAACACTGTCATTCCCAGCCCTTGAAAGGCATTAAATACTTTAACAATGAATGTCTGACTCTTGTGTAGCCTAGGCTGAGACTGTGCTAGTCAGGAGCCTTGCTGAGGGACTGGCCATCACTCCATGGCAGCTCTGCTGACCCCTCCGTTGTGCTGTGCTCCGTATAAGACAGGCGACCAGAACACACTTTCTGACTTTGACATGCCTCTAGCAATTCACTGTTTGTGATCAGTTCCTTCAATTCTGAGTTTACAAAGAAGCTTTTCTCAGGAATGAATATTGAATTTTATCAAAAGCTTTTTTTGGGGGCCCACCATTGAGAAAAGAGTTTAAATGGGGGAGAATCACCATATGTAATGAAATGAATTATTGTATCGTAATAGCTCTTCTATGGTGGATGGTCCTTAGATTTCTGAAGGTATCCTACCAGGTCATGGTATATTATTATTTTCATATTATTTCTGGACTTAAAAAAATGATTTATGTATCATATTTGTCTGTGAGATGAACCTATAGTTTTCTTTCCTATATATACTTCTGTCATGATTTCAGGGTTATGTTACCTTATAAAATGAATTAGGAAGCTTTCTGTTTCTGTCACTGCTCTGGAAATAACTGACGTTCATTGAGAGTGATCTAAACGCCGAGTGTCGTGTAAGAACTTTAATCTATCACCTCCAGAACCGCCACCTCCGACTTTGTGAGACAGGTCCTGTTTTACCCCCTACTTGCACATGAAGACATGAGACTTACAGAGTCTATTGCCTGAGGTTGCAGAGATAATAAGTAGTGGTGCTGACACTGAAACCAGTTCCCATTCCAAAGGTTATTTTTTCCTTTTTATATCTTAGCTATTACATCATCTTTTGTGTCCTTTTTTGATGTCCTGCTTTTTTAACCTATTACAGAGTAATAGGTTAAAAATATAGGTTAAAGTTTTAGTAGTACTGTGCTTTTTATTGGATTTTCCTGAATTTTTAAAGATTAGTTATTGCTACCTATATACATTTTTATTTGGAAATAATTTTAAATTTAAAAAGCTGCAAGAATATGAAGTGTGCAAAGAGCATGTGTTTACCCTTCACCAGATTCATCCACTGTTAACATTTTACCCCATCTGGTCATTTGTCCCCCACCCTGCCCCGATACACATACAATATTTTTCTAAACCATTTGTGACTCAGATGCATAAATGAAAGCCCTTTGTCCTTAAATACTTAGTACTTCTCAATCATTGTTATGTTTCTTTAGACTCAATCTGGAACGTTTCCACAGACTTTGTCTTTGTGACATTGGCATTTTGAAGAATGCAGCATCTACTTGCCCTCATTTTTTAGATAAAACATTCTCATTTGGGTTTGTCTGATGCTTCCCCAAGATCAGAGTCAGGGTATGCAGACCTGGCTGGAACACCACGTAAGGCAGGCTTGTCCTTCTCAGCTTATCAAAAAACCAATCTCCTCACTGGTGATGATAATTTCCATCACCTGTTCAAGATGTGACTCAAGAGAAACATACCATTGGATTTTGCTCCTTGTAGGATTCTGCATGATTTACTGTCAGCAGAGATTCACTTTGTAACTGTGAACCCCCAGCAGTACTCCTGGTCTCCAGTTCCTTCCACTGTGCCTTTGGGCAACAGGCAGCTTAGAGATGACTCCACAGCCACCGGCCAGCCTCAGGCCTTGGCCAGTCAGACACGGTGGAGGGTGGGGCTGGGGCCAGTCAGATTCCACAGGAGTTGCTGTCATGGTCTCAAAGCCCAGGAACCCAGAAAGCTCCAGCAAAGGCTGGAGAAGAAACTCCTGTGATGAGGATATTTAAACTTCTGGAACCTCCAAGACTGGCATGACTCAGAGAGGTTCCTTTCACATAGTGATGACAGAGATTAGCTCAGGGCCTCACTGGTTCCTTAAGATGTGCACTTTGGGCCTAGGAGACCTTCTCCTCAGGATCTCTGTGGACGAGGCACCTGAATCTGAGATTTACAAGCACCCAGGTGATTCTGATGCACACAACCTTGAGGAACAATGTTCTATACCCGCTCTAAAAGAACCCAGGCCGGGGGCGGGGGGGCGGCCACGGGGAGGCTGCTGAATGCAGCAAAACAAATACACCTTTATTTTCCCTAACTTCTAATTAAAAGTTAGTGTTCAATTATGAATGTATGCAAAAAACTACAGTAAAATTTCACCCCCAAAAACCCACCCAGTTATTTTCAGAACTCATTATAATAACTGCAAATATCTCTCTTTCTATTCTTTACCATTCAAAATTACAGCAGTTATCAGACCCACTGAGTCACTGTTCAAAATT